CCACTCTGGAGCCAGGCCTGGAGGGGGGGCACGTTGGCGAGAGCCTGGTGGTCAGGCTTTAACCCCTGGAGCCCCATCAGGCTAAACAAAAAATGTTTAGTTTACAAACTACATTTATCATTCAGCTAAATATTTATTTAAGCTTAATATTTAGTGACCAAGTTATACATGTGATATTGAGCTAAATTATAAGCCTTGAGCAAGCTGAATACTTAGCTTTGAGCTAAGTATTTGGCAAACAAGGCAAATATTTGACTAGTTTGGAATATTTAGCTCCAAACTTGTTCGACTTTATTCACACCCAACCAGTTGTTGGGTGTCATCAGCTGTGACTTTCTGAAACCCTGTGAAAAAAACAAATAGTAAAACTTTTAATTTCACTGAAAAATCAAAACTATAAACTTCAAAAAATAAAAATGGTCTTCTTTCAGCGATTCATAACAATTTCAGTTCAATATAACTTGGTGATGTTCATTCAGAAGGCTACAATGCAACATGCCTCAACAAATTTTTAACATTTGCTGACAAAAAATGAACCAAAATGAGCCCAGTTATTTTGGGTGCATGTAATAAATAATAAAATATTTTATAAAATAATTGGGAAACTGATTAGCACAAGTTAGAGAAAGCACAAGAAGGTCCCAAAGTGTTTAAAACAATTCTCCAGACCTGAACAACATCTGTGAAGGGATCTGAAACTTTTCCAGGAAACAGGAAGTCCAAAGGGTTTAGTTCCTTTCAAGGAAAGCGAATCCCTACAAGATGGATTGGTGAACAATGAGACGTTTCCATGGTGCAAAACTGATTACTATTTATGTCAAAGCTGTTTGGGGACCGGCTATTATTCAGAGTAGTCTCCATACTTCTCATAAAGGAGCCCAATCAGGAGCTCATTCAGCACCAGGCTGGACACTTTCTGGCTCAAACCTTTGCCTGTGTGTGTGTGTGTGTGTGTGTGTGTGTGTGTGTGTGTGTGTGTGTGTGGGTGTGTGTGTGTGCGTGTGTGTGGTGTGTGGGGGTGTGTGTGTGTGTGTGTGTGTGTGTGTGGTGTGTGTGTGTGTGTGTGGGGTGTGTGTGTGTGTGTGGTGTGTGTGGTGTGTGTGTGTGGGTGGGGTGTGTGTGGGTGTGTGGGTGTGTGTGTGTGTGTGTGTGTGGTGTGGTGTGTGTGTGTGTGCGTGTGTGTGTGTGTGGTGTGTGTGTGTGCGTGTTTTTGTACTTTCTGTGGCCTTGAAGGCAGAGTGTCTCAGCTTATTTTTCTGAAGGAACAAATATTTTGTCCTTCAGTTTATTTGCTTCTCCATCACATTGTTACTTTTGTCTCCATCAGGTCGGTTTGGACTTTCATGCACTTTACAGTAATTTAGCTGATTTGTCACTAAAGCCATTCTTGTTCAAATGTTTTGTGTTCAGTAAAATGTTGTTCAATTGTAAATTAATTTCATACAGATTGCTCTGCATGATTAGGAAACAGTCAGGACTTGGATTTATGATCAAAATCTAAACTAACAATAAATACAAAACAAATGTGATTTTAACTGTTTATTTCTTTTATATTTTAAAATTGAAAAACATTTCAGTGTGTTATAGTAGCACAGCCACCATGCTGGGAATCGAATGACTTTTTAGTTATTATTCAATTCAATTAAAAAATATCATACAATCAGGACATCCTCAGTTCGTAAACTTATTTGCTTTTTTCCCGTCTCCTCCCTACCGTAACCAAACTGACGTGGCTGGAGAAGCGTTTCTCACTGAAACAGATGCTTGAAACATCTTGCTATAAACATGGTTGGTTTGTGGAAAGCTTAGTATTGCAGCTTTAACATGTGGTGAACGAGCAACAAGGACAGCTTTTCACGCAAAATGAAAGGTGAAGAAATTTCATCTGACCTTCTGCACCAACTCTCATTTATTGTTATTGTTGAAATGTTATTTTTTTACAACCAGAATAATGTCTCATTAAATCTGTCCTTTTGGCTATTTGAATAAAAATGTCCTTGTTTTGATGTAAGGTGAGAAATGTTATGATTACTGGTTCATTGATAATTCATTTTTTCAAGTACTTTGTTTTGAGGTCACTCTACTCTTCACCTAGAACCAACAATGGTGAATGACATTAGTGTTCACCACTACTTTTTTAATTTTAATTAAAAAATCTTTTAATTACTATTTTAATAAAAAGATATTTTTGCAACTCAACACATGGTAAATATATATATTTTACTGTCATCTAAACCCAACCTTTAAGCCATGTCTCATCATTTCATTTGTTTCTTTTCAAATAACCAAATATTATAGTTTGCTCATTTGAGAAAAACTTTTAAGTCGTGCTTGGAATCACTTTTCTATATGAAAACAGCTCATCTCCAGTTTTCATTTGAGTGAAGACACACTGACACAATCTTCTAAATTGCTAAACTGATTTAGAAAATGTTGAAAAGTGATGTGATTTGCATAACTATAGTAAAACGATTCTGTGTTCGTGTAAATTTGCAGTTGTCAGTCATTCTGGGAGCCCTAAGTGTCCTCCTGAATGAAGGCACATTTCCATTCAAACCTGGGTTCACAGACAGACACTGTGGCACAGCAGAGCGGCGATCTGGGCGCCTCACGGTTCAGAGACATGAGCTGAGTCATTACGACTGTTTAGTGAAGATCTGCTCATAACAGCGCCTCATCGTCGGGCCACTGGAGAGTTCAGCTTTCCATCAGTCAGTGTAATTATAGTCTCTGCTGTCTGCTCACGTCTCCCTTCAAAACACTGCAGCAAAACCTTTACTAGAAATGTTATGACTTTTAAATGGTTTTTTGATGGTGGAAGGATTATGTAATTTATCGGTTTTTTTATAACAAGTTTTTGTGCTTGGATTAATGGATTTCCTGGTTGTATAAATAGGTGTATTTTGTAAAATTGCAATGGAAACATTTTTTGCGCATCATATGAGTCATGTGATCAACAGCTAGATGTTACTACTGCCGAAAACGATGAAGAAGACAACAAGAACCAGGATGAAGGGGTTTTTTCTTCTGTAGAGAAATAACTATCTGTCACTGCCATCATTTTTTAATAACTTACTGTGTGAACAGGTCTGTTCAGATGTAATTTTTATTTATTTTCTTATATAATGGAAAATCACAAGTGCGAAATTGTGTTTTTTCTACATTAGCAGAATATTGACAAAGTTTTGAGAACATTTGTAATGGAAACGCAGCAACAGAAATGATATTTTAAATGGAAACAGTGATTTGTATTACCAGGTCGGGTCCCAACATGATGTGAAAGAAAGTGCCAGGCAGGCTGTGAGTTTGCAAATTTTCACTCATTCACGCCTCTAGCACTTGGTTTTAAAAATGAGTCATGGATTTAGAGGCAAATAAGAGGTCACAGTTTCTACCCAGACACAGTTTGCGGTGACGCTTAGTAAGGAGGTTTTTCCAGTGGGAAGGTCAGGGGTTCAGTGCTCAACAGCTTAATTTGTCCTAGAGCAAGGCATTGTACCTACAATTACTTAGAAATGAGTTCAAAATGTTTAGTGGGAGGAAAAAAACCTAGACTGATTTAAGAAGACGCTAAAGGTTAATAAAAGCTGTGATTTGGCAAGTTTCTGTTTCTTTGAATTTAAAATGTCTTCTAATTTGTAGGAGCAGAGGGAAGTTTTTGTTGTTGTTGTTTTACCTGAATGAAATGCGCTCAGCTCTGGTGGGCGGTAAAAGTCACCGAGGTGCAGGAGTTTACTCCCGAGTGGAGCTGTTGTCATTATGTGGCGACATGAGAGCAGGAGGTGAGTCTGAAGACACACGAGGTGAGAAAAGGAGGCAGTAAAGTATGAAATTAAGTTCCCCTGGAGCTGTGGGCAGCAATGCAGTGGAAATGTAGATTCGTCTTGTTTTAGCCTGTTAGAGTGTGAAGGGTCTGTGGATGTCTGGCTTGTTTTCCATTTCTCCTGGCTGTGACTGTGCGGTCGGTATTATTTTACTATACGAGTCTCTGTGGGAGTTTCTGTCAGCATACAAAGTGTCTCAGAGGCAGCTAAATCAGTGGTGATGTCGACACAGAGGAACTAAAAGCAACCTCTCTTCTGAATCTATTTTTTCACTGACGTTTACCATTAAATTTAAAGTATCTATTTAAAGTTTTATTTCCTTTAATTGTTCTTTCTGAACTGTTTGAAACTGTTCAATAGTACAATTTAAACACTGACAAAATAAGAAGTCAAAGTAAATATTTTAGTGACCCCTCTAGTGACATTAAAAGGATAAATTGTTAAAACTTTCAATCTATGAAGGTGGTTTCTACAATTCAGTTTCTGTTATTAAAATGAAACATAAGTGCAGAAACCATAAAAAAAATACTAACCCAGGGAAAACATCTTCATTGTTTTTCAGATTTTTTTACTTTTACATTTGCAGGTTTGCTGCTGCTCCTCAGTCTGCAGCATCTCATCTGATCCACCTCGCTATAGGCTGCAGAGAATGATCTATCAGCCGCTGAGGATAGAAAACATGATCAGAAAGCACAAAACAAAGTTCAAATGTCTCTTCAAACTTGAATTCCTCATCCAACATTCATTCCAGCAGTTCAACTGCAAAGCAAAACTCATATCCAAAAGCATACAGAACGATTTAAAAGAATACTTCATGGAAAGTTTGGTGCAAGAAGAGTTCTGCCCAGATCCTGAGTAGTTATGCTGTTAAGTTCTCTGTACAGGAAAAAAAAGTAGCTGGAAGCCTCATTCATCAGGAATGAGACAACTTTTAATATTTAATTGCATAAATTGACTTAATTTGGGAGATAAATATGTTTTTAATGAGATTTAAGGTACAAAATCTGGGAGATGATGATCTAGTCTAAAATATGTACTGAAATAATGCAGAGCGCTTTCTGAAAGCTAATCTAAACCTCTGTGGGTGGAAACATTTCATCAGGGAATAAAAGCAGCAGAATAAACATATCCCATCATACCTCAGTCTGGATTTGAATGAGTTACCACAAACAGCTGTTGTTTCAATCTATCTTTAATTTACAAAAGCAGTGCTGATCACATTTTCCATTAATATGAACTCGTCTCATTACACAGAGAAAATAGTTTGGACTGAAATCCACAGTGTGTTCTGCATCAAAAATGAACCCACCATTCATTCCTCATCCCAGATCTGGATGACGTTTCTTCAGATCAGGGATCTGTACTTCCTGGAAGATCAGTTTGTTTGTGGATCCACCCAGTCCCAAACGTGGACGGACCCGTCTGAAGCCGCAGAGAGAAGTGTCCTCGGCCGCTCGGGATGCCAGACATGGGTGGTGATGAAGATGGGGGCGGAGCCATCGCCGTGTTGCGAGGAAACCGAATGACCGGCGTGTTGGAAGAGCGGTGAGGCGTCCTGTGGCTCCGCCCTCCATCCGGCGGTGTCGTAAATCTGAACAAGTCCACTGAGACCTGGAGAGGAGAGTGAGAACCTCAGATCAGACCCAATCTGGCTCTGCTTCAATCAAATATTCTGGAGGCTTAGTGTGATTTAAGGGAGGAGGGACATCAAACAGATTCAATTAAACCTTTTCATGATTGTTCGGCAAATGCATCGTGATATTTTTCCCTCTAAATTTTATTTTTTGCCATGACAGTCTTCCAAAAAGTTAAATTTACTGCACATAAGATTCTTAAAATATAGTTGATATTTAAGGTGCAAATAAAATTTTCAAGCACCTTCTTGAAAAAACACCGTTATTAAAGACAAAATCATGAGTTGTCAAAATGCAAAAGAAGAATTCCTTATTGGTCATTCAAGTTAATATGAACTGAATACATAGAATACATCACAATGGTTTTTGATATATTTTTGCTTGCATGCAGGTTCACCTTTCAAAAGACATGGAACAGAAATTAAATTAAAGGGTCAAAAATCCGCTGAGTTGGAATGATGAGTCAGAAAAGAAGGTAGTCCACAAAACATTAAGATGACTGGTAAGACTTGTGGAAAAGTTGGGATGACTGGAAAAAAATGATGAATGATTGCATTAATAATATGATTGCAACTTCCTGGAGGGACTGAGAAGTTAAAGGAAACAGATTCAAGGAGGCTCAAAAACCAGTAAAATGTCAGAGTGAGCTGAAAAACCAAAACTCATCCATCCTGATAATAGAAAAAATTGCTTGATGATGATGACAAATAATTGTTTAACTTTCTCTCTCCTATAGTAAATTTGACTTTTTATGTCACAGTGACATTAGACATGCTTCTAGATTAAACAGTCACCTGCAGCTGAAGGTTTTTTCAACCAATTTCAGTGAAAAAAATGATCCATTTCAGGTTATTGAACCTGCTTTTTACTGGAAGAGATGCATTAAAGTAACAAACAGGTTAAAAAAAAAATGGTTACTCGACATTAGATTAAAATTTAAATCCTACGTTTTTGTTGGAAAGTATTGCCCCCTCTTAGGAACCTGGGAAACTTAAAAAACTATCTGATCAAAGAATACATAAAAAATAAAAATTTATGGCCAAAATTAGCATAAATTTACCGTATTTTTATTCAGAACTTTCTGATTCAGCTGGTAAATAATAGTTTTTACAGTGTGTATATTAACCAACCCGACACTGAGAAGCAGCCGTCCAACGCTGGAGCCCACGCCACCGTGACATCCTCTGGTTTCCTTGGTGACGTCTGGAAGTCCAGCTGAGCTCGACACACGGCTCTCCCCATATTCCTGAGGTCTGAAACGACGGCCTGACCCGAGGAGGACAGCCTGATGAACCTAAACTGCAGCGCTGCAGAGGCGTCTGTCCACCAGAGGGCGCATTCCCCCGGAGGAGCTGAAGCCTGAGGAGGAGCGGACGTCCGAGTGTCTGCGAGGTAAACGGTGCCGCCACAGCAGCTGGCGAGAAACGCCGTCTCACTCACAAACTTTAAGGAGCTTAGAGGTTCTGTCGAGTCGACCTCTGTTGGAAGATCAGAACATCAAACCCTGAAACTGACTTTACTTTCAGCTGGAAGTGGAGGTTCAGTGGTCTACCGAGTCCATAGAGAGTCTGTCCTGTGCTGAGCTGGGTCAGCTGGACGCTGCTGCTCTGTGCTCCATGAAGGACTTGAGGCGACGAGGAGAGTCGAGCTGCGATCCTGCTGCCAGTCTGAGAAACTCTCGTCCCCGAGAGACTTCCTGTCTTCCTGATCACATCTGGCGCAGGAAGTCAACAAACAGTACAGATTATTATTATTATATAGCTGGATATGAATTGGACCTGCCTCTCTTGGTTCTGATTATGTTATATTGACTGCTTTAAGGTGTTTTCACATCTTATAGTCCAGTAGTCTTGGTTTGACTGGGAACTGAAAAGATGCTGTTCTCTTTCACACTGCACTATCCCACCAATCAAACCTTCCCAGCAGCTCCTTCACCTCCTCGCCTGTGGGGGCGCTGCACCAAGAACTACTGAAGGGAATGATCCTAAAACCTCTGAAGAAGACAGAGGTTTTTGCGTCATTTTACATTTTTGAAAGCAAAAATGTAAACAATGATGGAGTGGTGTCAGATTTAGAGAAAAAGCTTTAATTCTGACTGCATGTTTTATGAATATTTTCCAATATGAAAGTCATTCTCATTGTCATGCTTTCAGGGCTGTAAATGATGTAAGTAATATTTTACATTAAAATTCTGTGTATCCTATGATTGGAATAAGATCCATAATCCTGCTGGGGATTTATTCCCAAAGGTTTCATTTTCAACTTAAAAAGCAGCGCTCTCTTAACTGATAATCTGTAATACTGTGAGCAATTAAACTGCTTTATCTGTCGACATCCTGGTACTGAAACTTCTAATAGTGAAGTTAGATTGTTTTTAAGTCATGTTGTGTCAATGAGGCATTTTAGAAAAATAAAACTCACCAGTGTCGTCTGAGCCGAGGTCCCACAACTGCAGGTCGGAGCTCAGCCCGTCATTGGTCACCGCACACCTGAAAGAACGACAGTCTTCTAAATCATGTGATTATGATCTATAAAAAAACTAGATGGCAAAGAGATTACCTTAAAATAAATCAGTTAACCACATGATCAGTTAAAACAAGCTGGTTAAGTTCCATCTGCATGATTGTTTTTCTTGTGACTCTCTTTCTACCAAAAGTCTTCAATCTGGTGCTTTTGTCTCAAGTTGTTCCTTTTTTGAAGGACAATTTTGTTTAAAGAGGCTGCATTATTGTTGCAGATGAAGACATCGCTATTAAAATCCAAGTTTCACTCTTTGAACTGAATTGCTAAAATAAACCTTTGACTGATATTCTAATTTATAGAAATGTGTCTAAATCTATATAAAAAAAAGTAAGCTAAAAACACTTCAAATGTAAAAATAAAATTATAAAAGTGTATTTATCCCACCTTTGTAATATTTGTTATTTTATATTGTGCATTAAGCTGCTTAAATAAGAATTAATGGCTTGTCCTATTGTTTGACAGAAAGCCTTTGTACTCAGTTTAAATCTCTGTTTCTGTTTTAATTAGATTTCTATTTAATTACGACTTTCTTCCATAGAATTAATCAATTTATATTTTCCTGAAAGAAAATCCCAGAAGCTTTGAAGCCGTCACACATCACAGAACTAAAACATCAGCAGGAATAAGAGAGAAGTTTCAGCTCAGCATCTTTATGACGATGAAAGAGTCAGAACCGACCTGGTTCCTGGAATGTGTGTGAGGCAGCAAACCGGGGCTTCTGAGAAACCACCATGCACAACTTTGAAATCCCTCTCTGCACAGAGACCCTGAACACATCAGACCAAGAGGACGTTTACCGATATCTGAAAAACTGCCTATAAAAATTAAACAAAGACAATTCATGCATTCTTTTTTTTTACCTTTTTTTCATCGGCTAAAAGTTTCAGCGGCAAGCAGAGCTCCAAGATTTCATTTTTACCCGAGCTGTATCCAGCAACACACAAACGGCTAAAAACACAAAAGAGAATCTAATATGTGATTTACAGAAGTATTCACACCATTAAAAAGTATAAATATATATATACCTATATATATTTTTATTTTATTTTTTATTTTTTTTTACTTTAGTTATAAACTTGATGTTTTTTGGGGGATTTTTTATAAACCAACAAAATATGTGAAGTGATATGTATATGTAACTTTGCTTGGACATTGTTTACAAATACAAATCTGAAAAATGACATGCATATCCTTTTCATTTCACCTCATAGTATTTGTATGTCATGTTTCACCAACAGGATTTCATAAAAAGCTAACTTCTTCCACGATGTGCCTCTTTTTATGTTCAGTAGTGAATATTTTTGCCACATTATTTAAATCCACTCACTCTTCCAGACGTCCACTCGATGATCTGAGTGGGATGTTCAAGCTGGTACACATGAAGATCCTTATACCTGCAGGAACCAGAACAGACTAGAACAAAACAGGAAACCCAGCAGGACATTTGGTCACATGACAAGAATGTTTCTGGTCTGCTGTTTTCAATGCACAACTTTGTAAATATAATTTGAAGTGATTCTACTCCAGAGCAGCTTTTATTTCATCTGGGTGTGCTATTTTAATAGAGATTGGTATTTATCACATCAATTTTTATTGATTGTGACACATTTTCAAGCATCAGTATTTATTGTTGTTTCCACAAATTTCAACTATGTAAAAATAAAAAAAACTATTACGGAATATCAGAAATTTGATTGACTCCACCATTCATTCCAGAAGACCACCAATAAATATCAGTAAATGTAAAATATATGATTAAATGTAGTCACTATGTGCATTATATAAATCACACTTTAAGTGGTGTTCTGAAGACAATTTCAAATGGAAATGTTTTCCAAGAACAATATTTGTGTTTGTGGGCTATGAATGTGGTGCATTCACCGTTTCATTTTATATTGTTTTCCGGTGCATTAAGACACAAATAAAAGCTTACTAATGTACAATGTGGTTGTATAAGAAAACAACTATCTGGTTATAACTGTGCGAGGTGAAGCAGCTAAAGTTAAAATTGCAGACTCGTCGATGCGCGTTGTTTTAAGATAAGCAAGCCGAATTTTAAATATGTGTCTAATTGATACCTGGAGCAAGTTGGTAACATTTTTAAACCACCTGAAGTTGCAGGTGCGTAAATCTTAAATGTTTTAAGGGGATTTAGAAGAAGACATTCCATTCCTGACAGCTAACACAGACAGAAACCGACCGTTTGATAAAGAATAAAAGTTTTCTCACGATTTTAAAGACTCAATGAACCAGTCATCTAAAATATCATCAATCTCCACAGCTTCCGTCTCTCCCATCTTCTCTCTTTAAAGGCGCTTCATTGCTGCTTCTCCACCAGTTTCCGCTCAGTTTCCGTAACTTTTTATTCATTCAGTGGCCGCAGCGCATTACCGCCACCTGCTGGTGTGGAGTTGTCACCGATTCAGAGCGTGTTTGGAACCACAAAAGGTTTAAAAACAAATAAATAAATAAAAAATCATCAAATGTTTACATACAGGGAAGGAATACATTTGCTTCAATGAGACATTAAATTAAAAAAAAAAGTTATCCCAGCAAATTTACAACCATAAGACTCTTATTTAATATAAAACATTTCATTCTTTAGGAAATTCTATGTATATATTAAATTATATCACCTGACGGCAAAAAAATGCTTTAGGTGGCATTATTTTTTATTACCTTTAAATAAACACAAATAACTTATTTCTTGAGCACTCCTGGGGAAAGTTATTAGTGGATAACTTTCACTAATAATAGGTTTAATTTATTACAAGGAATGAATCTTGGTTCAAAAACAAAACATTTCTTCATCCAGTGGAAAATATGGAATCATAAACAACAACATTTATCTCAAAACAAATATATACTGTGCTGTATGAGCTAATACCTGGTTAGCAATTTTTGAATCAAGTCCCAATAGGTACAACTAATTGTAATACCTGTATGAGTCTGTAATTACTATGCTGGATGAATTTGTTGCTGACTTGGTTTAATACCTCCACACATGTCTCTTAAGTTTCATTTGGAGCCTGGCTTGTTTGTCTCACTGATCCAAATTGCAGCACTGCCTACTGCTGTAAGTATAAAGGATTGTTCCTGAGACAAAGCAAGAACAGCTACATAAAGCTGTTTCATCAGTTCATGTGTCTTCATGAAAATTCTGGAATTTTTTTCTTTTTCTAAAAAAGAAACAAGACCTTCTGATTTTAAAATTTCTAATATGGTCAAAAATAAGAGAAAATTCTAATTCATATTCAAAAATACTTTATTAATCCAAAGGGAAATTACAGAACAAACATGAGGACAAGGGGCTTCTACTTGGTGTACAAAGCACAATTAGCTGATACTTAATTTCTGTTTAGTAAGTTTAATGAGAAAAGAGCAATCACAGATTCTATAAATGCCATTAAAGACCATTAATTAGTCAGTGTGATTCAGATAAGCTCAGGAAGAAACTATAGAATTGAAAAGCTCCAGCAGCTGCAGACATGGAGAGATAAGCTTCAGTTTTTTACAATAAAGCAGGAAAAAAGTCAAGATAAAGCACATTATTCAGCGTCTATATTTGATTTGAGGCTGGTATATATTAACTTATAGCTGTTTTGCTTGGAATAGTAAAAAATGAGTTCAGCTTTGGCTGAGTTTCTGTCATTTGTATTAATTCTTATGGGCTTTTTAAGGAATGTAAATATAGGGATTAAAAACTTTATGAATTGTTAATGTGAATTTGTAGTGCAACTGTGCTTTTAATAAAATCAAGAAACTAAGGATTCAAGCATTTACTTACCTTAGGTAACAGGATTATTAGATAAGGTTTCAGCTATCCTCCTTTTAGTGCAGAAATTTCAGATTTGATTACATAATAATCCACCTGTTGACAGGAAGAAAAGCTTTTATGATGCTTTGGCAACAATGCTACCCGTGATTTCACTGCAGTGCTTGTTTTCTCCTGGACAGACTGGTGACTGCATGCTGCCCACGCCATGCAGCGCTCCATCACTGCAGCTGTTGTTTTCCTTCCTCTCCCCCTTCTCTTCAACAGCCTCATCACTCTGTTCTTCCTGCTGTCTGACAGGCGAGAGTCTGAGTCACTTTCGGTAAGTTGGAAACAAAGAATCCAACTTGGGGTCTGGATTACGATAAAAATCCTCCATGAATGCATGCAGGTGCATCAACAAATATTTGTAAATATTTTAATGATTATGGCTTAGAGATAAAAATAACCTAAAAAAATCAGAATATAAAATAAGATCATTAAAAATGACATTGTTCAATGTTTGGTTATGGCTCCTTTCAAATAAATTTCTGTATCAATGCGGCATAGCATGGAGGAGATCAGCCTGTGCTTTTGCTGAAGTTCAGGACGCCCAGGAGATTGTTTTTCCTCCTCTTCCTTCTGACAACACACCAGTCTTTGTGGGGTCAAAGGTCAGGACCGTTCACCAGCCAATCAACCACATTTGATGTTTTGAGTTAATGATATGATAAAGATGTGACACCATCTTTTTCTCACAATATTTTAATTTACTGAGATGCTGAATTCTGAGTTTTCTTAACCTGAAAGCATTAATCATCAAATTTACATGAAATAAGTGCTGAAATATTTAACGTCTCTCTAGTAAGTGAGTCTCACGTTCCAAAGTTTAGACCACTTTATCAGGCAGCCTTGGGTGAGATGGGCTGGTCGCTGAAAAAGTATTTGCTTTTTATTTGAACGAACATGGACTGTGATACTTTAGTAATAATTTATTTGGCTACCTGTGTCTCTTGGAAGCAGCATCCTGCTAGATATGAAGCAAAACAGAAATAAGCATGCTCAATAAATGCAAAATATGACCTTTCTGACTGGATAAGAGTGAATTTAAATTAAATCAGACTAGTCATCACATCAGAGACCCGTTCAAATCTGTGTTGAAAACATTCAGTATATTCACAGAAGATGTAACACACGAGTTGACATAAAAAACTAGTCTTAACTTCTACTTTCTTTTGAGAAAACTAATTTAACACAACATCTTGCGTCATATGAGCTGCTGGGTTTTTAACATCACTGAGATCTGACAGACTTTCTTCCACTGCTGTAGTCACAGCAGGAAAGCTTTTACCCTCCTGAGTTAGAAGAATTTCAACTGTCCATGAGATGAGCCAGTTAGCAACAACAAACTTCCCCTGTAACCCAAAAAGAAACAGAATCTTTAATCAGAGTCATTGTTTTCATCATTTTATTGTTTTAGATTTATTTATGAAGATTTTAGATTCTTCTCTCAAAGCTATTCTACTGTTAGTTGTTATGGTTTCAGGCAAGACGCTGAAACAATGTTTACTCGTTGATGCCTGGGCATCTCTGGGAGATTTACTCAGAAATAACACCCCAAATGAATCCCATATATCTCAGGAACTGCAAGGTCTATTTGAATGGTTCTGGTATCAAAATAAAAGTAACACCCTATACAATACTTTGGAGAGCTAAAATCAACACGGAGTGCCACCGTCAAAAGTGGAAAAAATATATATTTAGTGATGTGGATTTCTCTTTGAGAGAACATTTAGCAATCCACAGTACACTTTAAGACTAAGAAATTGACTAAATGTTTGACGGATAAAAAAACAAACAAAAAAAAAAACACTTTATTTACTTCCAAATAGAAATATTGGTTTAATAAAAATCAACAAATGGACTTTGTGCTTCTTCTTGGTTTGAACAACCATCACATTTTTACAAATAGCAATTTGTGTTCTGATTCTAAAGTTCAGGCAGCTTCTCTCAGCATCATATGCCTGTTAATGAAACGTGATGAATTGGCCTGTGCAAGTGTGCAACCTCGGCCAGACTGATGAATACTAATGCTGGGAAATAGGTCATCTAATGAAATGATGCACATCAACAAGCTGATGGAATGAGCACTCACTCGCAACAGGTGGGAGGCAAAGGATGTGGCTTTTCTGTCTGTTTGTCCTCCTTGTTGACACTTAGGAACGATAATTAACCAGCTGGAAGGCACAAAGTTTGTCTGAACACACTTAGCAATAAAATAGATTTTGCGCTCCTTTCATTGACAAATGTTTGGATGTGATGGAGTACTGATGTGCATAAGGTCAGCTCTAAATTATGTATGATCTGTTTACGAAAGTAACCAACACATACGTCTGTCCTGACATTTCCTCTGCAGAGTCACGGAAACATAAACTAAATGTTCCAGTCCGATGTTCAGCATAGCTCTTTTAATTCTAAGGTTTTTTCAGTCTAATGGAAGCTGAGCTTAGCAACATTTGTTATTTTTTAATCCATAAGATTAAAGTTTTTCAGTTTTGGGTGGTGTAAAAATATTTTCTCAGCTTGTCTAAATTCTTTGGTTCTCATTTGAGCTTATCTCAAGCTGGATTAAGTTTGTTTTACATCCTCAGAGTCTAGAATTCTGTCCACAGACTTCTTTGCAAACTCAAAATCTCCATTACTCTAACTATAGACAACATTTATTGTCAAAATGTAATCACACTGAGGTGTGATTTGACTTTAAATTATGGAATTTCATCAGACCGTTCTCAGTTTTAACAGCAGGCCTTCGAGTCTGTCATGTGATGATATAAAAAGCATAAACTTTTATGAAATGATTATAATCATTTACAGGATGATTAACTCTTTCTTTGGGTGCTGTACTCTTTCTAAATTATGATTAAATATTGATCCCTTAAAAACATCAGATCACTGATGAAATACACTAACAAATCAGTCATGATGTTTTATGTGAAAATGAATGTCTTCATATTTAATTATCAAGCATTACTACAATTAATGAAGGATTGCTGAAGGGATGGAAACTTGAGAAGGTGCTTATAAGCAGAAATAAACAGAAAACACTATTAATTTTTTTGAAAAAATGTTTTACTTTGATTTAAAAATTCATCTGCATATTGACTTATTTGAAGATTGTTTGGTCTCAACCTCCTTTTTATTGTTTCCATGGTTGCACATTTAATATTCTGGCTCCCTCTCACTACAGAGATAACACTGTTTTAAATTATGGGACAGAAACTGCACTGAGCATGCCAGTGA